TTTATTTTGCTTTTAGGTTTAACAACAGGCACCTATACTATTTATAGACTGTACTGACATCCTGCTGAGACATTCATTATTCTTTTCTCCAATTTTTATCAAGGCAGTACTATCTTTCTTGTAATTTTGGGGGGAAATGAGGAGAGTATTTAGTGCTCTTCAACTACAGTTCTTTTTGTTGGTAGCAGAGGGAAGTAAACAACAGCCCTGTGAAGTAATATTTTCATTCTATAAACTAAGGAACAGAGAAACTTACTGTTCTGCTCATGTCTCTCAATTCCCATTTACTTTATCAGACATGCTGCTTCTCTGTGGCAGTGGTTAAATAATTGGGAACATTATTTAAATGGGATTAAAATGATTTAAACAATCACTTAAACAATGGTTTGATCAGTTTCTGCAAAATAATGTCAACCTTCATATCCTTCAAGTTCTTTATAAACACATGAGAATTTATTGTCCTGATGTGTTTAGCAATTAAATCTAAATTAGGTTCACTTTTTTTCATACATTTTTTCCTTTTCCCTTTTTTCTCTTTTCTTTTCCCCTTCTGCTTTCTCCCTGGAGGTGAAATAAAGAAGGTTCCTGTGCTATAGCCACTGTCCTAGATTATGTGATACTGGCACCAGCTGCTGTAAATTATACTACTTTGATTATCTGGGTCTTGATTCCCTAGTGTAATCTCCTAGCAATTCCTGCGGGGTTTTAGCAAAGGAGAGTCTTAGCCTGGACTGGCCCAGTTGTGCTGTGCCTCCCTCTGGCCGCTGTTCAGCTGCCGCTGAATCTTTCTTGGCTGAGCAACTGAAAAAAAAGACTTCAGCCATTGCTGGGGCCTTCTACCAAAGAATCTAAGTTAGTGCCTGGATGAATACAGGGTAGTCATTTAACTTCCAAGCTCCCATGCTGGGTATAGAGATAATGGGTACTGGCGTGCATATAAAATATCCTATGAAATTATACATAAATGCTTACTGTTTGATACGTCTTAACACACTGTAAAACTTTGTACTTACAAGTATGTTTTCCATAAAAAAATCAACACTTCTCAGATAAAGAGAAAGATTCTCTGTTTTCCTCTCCTCCCCTGCTAACTGTGGGAGGAGATTGGCTGTGGAGGAACAGGATTTTTTTGGTAGACTAGAGTTACGCTTGGCACAATCTGTCTGAAGAGGCCAACAGCACGCTCTCATTTTGGGTCAGTTCTTTTGTCTAGCAAAGGACTTGGGCCAGAGATCTCAAAGCAGCAAAAAATTTCTATTTTTATATTGAAAATAAAATACCCTACCCTTGCCAGATAATAATGAGACTTTATAAAATAGAGGAGCCTATTTTCCTTAGGCAGATCTGTTTCCTATATAAAATTTTAGTGGTTGAGGTAAGTCTGCAGTCTAGTATCTTGCACTTCATAGCTTTAACGCTTATTTTTGTGTGTTTGGAAAGTAAACAAAGTACAACACATGCATCCTTCATTGAGCTTTCAATCTTAGCTTATTTTATAGCTTAGAGCAAAGAGATAAAGGATAAAAATTAACTATTTTACAGTGGGTTATATTAAAATGTCTTAATTAATCAGTTAAAAATCATTCTTTTCCCTACTTGGTATTTTCTGTCTCTGAAATCCTTTCCTTTCTGTTAGTTCTGCTACTAATTATCCAGCCACTAGCTGTAGGCCTTTAAAGTCAGAAAATGCAACATCAGTCAGGAGACATGTGGTTGCAAAAACCAGTGAGCGTGTAGGAGGAGTACCTTTACAGGTCAAGTGCTATAGCTGTTCTTTGACAAATCAGTCTGAATTAGCATCACAGGAGCCTGTTGGTATTCCTGCTCCCCCACACCTCTGGCTTCATCTGTTAGCTGCTGCTGTTGCCAACCCTCATTTTACACTCCCAGACCTGTAATCTCTTTCAGTGCTTGCTGGCAGTGCTGGAGCAGCTTCGGGCCCACAAACATCACTACCGAAACTTGAAATAGACTCTGCACCTGAAACTCCACTGCTTGTGGCTTCGCCAGTCTTCAGCTAGTAATTGTTTATTAATAATTAATAATTTAATAATAATGGGGAAAGAGGAAATAGCATATAAGTAAATCCTCTGACTGATGGTCAAAGTTCAAGAGATAGCATCAGTAGCAATGGACACTCAAGTAAAATGCTTTCTTAAAGGCTGTTTCTTGCCTTTTTGCTAAATGTATTTGATCATACTGCCGGTACCTGTATCCCCAGGAATGGCTCCAATGTAAAGACCTAATTGTGTAGACTAATTTAGGTATATGTCTTTGTTCCCTGCTGAAGGGACAGGGCAGTGGGTGGTGGGAGAGAAAACCTTGAAGATAGCATGCTAGTGCTAGAGGCATCCTCTACAATAGTCCTAGCTGACACACTTAGGGATGGGAGCCCAGATGGAGCTCAGCTTGGTAGGGTATCGAGGCAAGCTTATATGCCTCCTTTCTTTTTCACCTTTAAATTGAGGCTGCATGCTTTGACGGTTGCCTGTGTTCTGGTCTCTTTATCTAATCTATCTGTCTACATGGCTTCCATGTCCTTCTTGTTAGAGTGATAAATGGAAAAGGCTATTAAAGTTTCAGCATGCTTAATAGTGTCCAGAGCCAATCTGTTGTATGACAGATGCAGTGATAGGTAGCTACTTGATGGACACAGAGGATCTATGGTTAGCTGTGTGCTTTTAGAAATGGGAGTATAATGTATGTACTGACAACACTGGTCCAAATGTAATCTGTAGAAGTGCAGGTTTCTTTTTGTATGCATCACATATGCTGTAAATAAGCAATGTGACTGACCAAATACAATGGATACACTGTTAAATAAGCACACGGTATCTGTTACTGTATTGGTTCTTTTTATTTCTCAGAGAAATAATTTGACACTTGTAAAACAAATGTATAAATAAATATGGGTGGCCAATCTCCCTAAATACCTGAACTTGACTTCAAAGGGTTAACTGTCCTTTGTTTTGAATTGTATAATATACAATGAACTTGTTTCAAAATCTGTTAATGGATATTTTTCAACTGAATTCAGTAAGTTCTGGATCAGGTCCATAGAGAGTACAAAACTCATGCATTGCCTAAAGTGTCTGTCTGGCTTTTTCTACGGTATAGAAAACTACAAAGGAGTGGGACAAAAGTTGGGTGTAAATGTTTTTTTCTAGAATATTTTAAAAGTTTATTTAAGGGGGGTGGTGTGTCTTGATGTCCCCCAGACTTTCCTGATATCTCAGTAAATTTCAATAGATTCCTTTGTATATCTAGTTTGCATTTCCACACATCTATCATTCAGGAACTTGGCTTAATAAATCACCTAAAACACTCTGCAAGAGAAAACTGTGTAGAGCTAATTCCTCTTTTACACCAGAATAACTCCATTGACTTATCAATGTTAACTCTTACTATATCTGGCTTGGAAAAATGAAGAACCAAATGAATGAATGCAGGAATTTGACCAACAAGGTAAAAATTGTGAAGGGGCCATGGATATTTCTTTTGAAAAAGTACATTTATGCCTTTGAGTTGGAGGACTTTAATTCATTCCAGTTCATCTTTTTTTTTTGTTTCTTTTTTGTTTTTGCGTACGTGCGCGCGTGTGTGTATTTCCCTAGCATTCTTTGAATGTATTGTTCTGAGGGGCAAAAAGTAAGATTAATATGGCTGAGTTAGTATCAGTTATTGTTTTCTTCCTAATATCCCGCAGCTTTATGTTGCTTTAGCGTATGCACATTCGGAGTTTTGAACATTGTGGGAAAAGGTTTCACTGGCATCCATTCTTGCCATTAAAGTGCTTCCCATCTGAATATTGCCTGCCAAAGTATGTGGTATCCTGCAGAGCAAGAGGATGAGGACATAGATTGCAATGAAGCTGAACAGTTTGCACTTCCTAACGGTGACACCAGACATCAATCTTTTGCAGAGACAGCCCAGAATAGAGGAGAGTGAGAACTCCCACCCACACCCCCCCACCAAAAAACAAAAGGAGAATTATCTTCTTTTTTTTCCCATTTCATTCCAGCAGTTTCTTTCTAAGATCCTCCAAGATGAATACGTTCTCAAATTGCATAAGCCAACATTTCAGTGGCTAAGACGCTTTTGGGGAAGTAAAAAAAAAAAAAAAAGAAAAGAATTGAAGTAAAAAAAAAAGTAGGTTCTCTGAAGTAACTTTTTTTTTTTTAAAAAGCATTTATTTAATTTAGTCTCAGTTCTCTTTATCATCAAGCTAAGGAGTAGAGTGCTAATTTGGTCACAGTTAATGTGTTTCACACATTTATACCACAGTTTGACATCAGTATTCAGTAACACCAAGTTATATTATACAGGTTGGCAAATGCTCAGAACTAAAGATTGCCAGTTCTGTAATCGGCCATATTTGGAGAGGCTTAAGTCAAGTCTGCAGCTTGTATAAAGTGGCACAGGTCTATAGAAGTCACTTTGCACCAGCTGCTGAGGATCTTCTCCTTTACACAGAAATTTGTTGCAGGTTTTTATTATAATATATAAATCTAATTTCATCAACAGGTTGATTTATACTTGTGCAATTAATGAGCCATATGGTCCTCTTTGTAGTAAAAAAGGTGCAGAAAGAGCTAAGTGCTGCAAAAAATTGCTACATCAATGAGCTGCAGAAGCTAACATATACTGTGTCACTCAAGAGGTTGTGAGGCTGTAAGGTGGATGAACCTTGCTATAACCAGTAGGAACCCTCACTGAAGAAAAGGTGATTGAAGAACTTGGGCCAAATACTGGACTTATGCTGGGAAGTGCTTGACATGGCTTGGGACTGGGTTCACAAACAGCATTTTGTGCTATGATTTAGTTATCCTTGAAGCTGCCACGGCACCAATTTACTTTTTGGTACAAATCAGAGCTGTTTTCAGACTCTTAGAGCTAAAGAGTCTCATATGAAAGCCAGAAAAACTGGAAAACAGGGTACCCGAGTCAAGCCTTATACACCCACAAAAGAGACAAGTCATTGTGTAACAGCTGCTGCCGCCATGGTTCCTCGCGACCCAGAGGCTCAGGTCTTTGTTACAGAGAATCATCCAGAACTCAGGCAAACAAAACTTCAACCAGCTGCAGAATTGCTCCCGGCAACTAGAGAACTTGAACAATTGGGTTCAGGAAGGTGTGAGAAACAGGTTGGTCAAGCAAGTTGCTATAGCAGAATTTGTGTGAGAGACCTGCTGTGTACTGAAAGACATGCCAAATATTCCACTATTTTCAGAGGTTACATATATACACGTTACTAAAACTTAATTCCTTCTGTATGTTTCTTTCATCTTCTGAATTTTTCCTATTTGTCTTTGTGGAAGTGTCCAAACCCAACATTTGCATGCTAAAATTGCTTTGGATCATTTATCTTCTCAATATCTTTCCTCACGAAGGAATGTATATTCATTTTCTATTAAATCTATGAGTGAAGTCAGAGATTGAGTCACTGTGAATTAATTTCTGAATCCTTACCTAATAAACTTTATACCTTTGTGGTTTTCCATGGCATGTGTGGAAAGAGACTGTTCAGTTCCCGGCACCTGTATGAAAAGCTCGCAGGCTGTGGGTTAGGACTGTCCTCATGTAATTAACTGAGACTCTTACTCTTGTTTACATTGATATAGTTTACATTGATGTAACTAAATTGCATGAAGTTTGATCCATGCAGCTTAGCTTCTGAGGGAACTACTCCTACTAGAAGAGACTGAGTCTTCAGGAACACTGTGGCTTTTTCTAGCCTTTCCATTGGTATCCTATGCTTATGAGGATGCCAAGAAATAACATAGGGCACCTATGGGTTGAAAGGACCATTATTTTTGACCTGGCCAAGCTCTGCTTTCCTAACCACGTGATATCTTAAATATTTTACAGATCCAGAAGTGTATCTGAGTATAATTCACAGTCCTCCCAGATTTTTGCTAAGCAGGGATATGATCTGGCCTGTTGTTTGTTCTGGGTAGCATATGTAATACTTTGGCTTGTCTTGATTCTTCCCACGTTTCCCTAGACCATTCTGCATCTTAAGTTTTGCAGATTTTATTGTGGATATTTTTGTGTGGGAGCAGTTTTGTGTTTTCAACTGGTATGGCAGCAGATCAAGCAGGAGGTTTTGGCTTGTGGACAGATTCTGGAGGCAGGTTTTGTAGAAGGTTGCTCCAATTTTTGGCTTGTAAGCCATGGGACCATATAGCATGTATTACTTGATTATAAGTTAGCCCACTCACTAAATAGTTTGCTGACCGCATACAGTAATTTAAGAAGAGGGCTGAAAAACAGAGATAATACTGAACAAAGCACAGAAAAAGCACATCTCGCATCACGGAAGGATCAGATGCTGAACACCTAGTGAAATTTCCTAATTAAGCTGCTGAATTGCAACTATGTAGGTTTCAGAGTGTCTCAAGGTAGCATTATTTTCTGTTTGACACTGGCTGTGTGACATGCTGTATGATTGCCTATCCTGGAATTACCTGGGTACCGCAATATATTTCACTGCAAAATGACCAAAGAGGACGAGATAGTGCTGAGGCTGAAGAGGTGTTTCTGAGTTGTTCCACTTCTCCTGACACACAAACTCTGGGAGCAAAGGCTAATGTAGTCTGTTTTTCCTATTATTCTAAACAGTAGTGGAACTCCTACTTTCTAAATGCTGAGAACTGTTCTGTGTCAGGTATGTGCACAGCTAGGTGCTTCTCAATAAAAATGTGCGGAAGAAGAAAATTGAGAAGATTCTTTGAAACTCTATAGTGAATCAAGTCTAATTCACCACTTGAACTCATATCTCCTTACAGCTAGTCTTTTGATTTACGTATGTGATCATCCTGAGAATACAAACTGCTAACACTCACTGTAGCCAAGGCCACAATGTAAGAAAAATGTGTCTTATTAAAAAAAAAACAACAAACAAAAGAGTGTGCATTTCCCTGTATACACGCTTCTTTGTGTGTGGTGTATATAATACAGTCTTCCAGATAAATTCCTTGGATCTAATCCTGTTCTCATTAAACCCATACAGCCCTACGCTTACGCTAATGTAACTGAGGAAAGAATTTGTTCCTATAAGAATTATATTTCTAATAAGAAGGAAGCAGAGGCTTTTGGCATATAACCTATCTTGCAACTCTTATTGAACAACACTAAAACAAAAAACATAAAGCAAAGTTGGATCAGAAGAGTAACAAAAGAGGGACTACACCACAACAGACTTGAACAGGAGAGTCATGTACAGATCCTATCTACCTCTGTTGTGGAGATGATAACTAATCTGTGTAGGTAGATTTCTGTTTTCATGTGAGGTGGAATGGATTCTAGGGTGACTTCCCAATTTTAATAAAGGCATCCCCTCTGGGTCCCAAAATACAGTTTCTTAGCCAACTTTTGTTGAAAAAATCTGGTAGTTGTCCCTCCCAGTAACAAAACTTAAGTGCTGCTCTGTCTCAGTCGTTGTTCATCCAATGCAAATGTAGAATCCAGCAGGGAATGAGACTCCTTGAAAAAGCCCTGTATGAGAAGAGATTTATTCAAACATTTCAGAAGCATCAACAGAACAGATCAATTAGAACAAGGCAGGAAGGTAGTAAGTAATCAAACAGTTGTTTTGTCAATAAGAAAAGCTGATAGTTTAGTGGAGAAATTATTTAAATCCTATGTATTCTTCTCTGTTTTATCTTTGTAGGGAGGGTTGAAATGCATAGAAAAGGAATGACTGGAAGATTTACCCTCCAGGCCATTTTTGTTTCCTCAGTCGTCCTGGGTTTTCTACTGATCGTGACTGGAGAGAAGTAGACCCATGAGATGATCCCTTTTCTATTGCTTGTAGGCGAACGCAGCAGAGAGTACCTGCCTCTGAAGCGCTGCAGGTTACAGCTGCTCTAGGAAGCAGCAGTTTCCACCCTGGGGTCAGCAGGGACCACGCCGTGGGTGAGGGGTTTCTTGCCACATGCTTGGCTTTGCGGAGTTCATCGTCATGTGGTAATCGTGACGCAGTAAATGTGATTTCGCTATCTTCTAAGTTTCTAGCTAGGTAAATTGTAGTTCAGTTCCTTGCTGAATACTGAAGGTATCTAATCTTGTAAGAGATGGCAAGCATAGTCAAACTGAAGGTTTTGTTTAAATTCAAGTAGACGCTGAGGGGAAACTCACCTGTTCTCCTAGCTACAGTCGGCGTTGACTGAAAGAGAATGTAAACTTTACTCATCATATGGACATATTTCTAAATCATCTGTATTTTTTTTCCACTTTACTTTAGATCCAGGTCTTATAAACCTGTGTGAAAAGAAATTGCCCCCTTTTAATTAAAAGGTCTATCTAATCTTTTTTATTTGCTAAAGGTTCATCAAATCTTTAGCATTTCACTGATTTTGAGTACTGTGTAAAATGGTCGTTTTCATTGACATCACTCCTTGAAATGACTACAGGTTTTTTTGGCACACATATTTTCTCCTGTTGTTAATAAAAATGTGTTGGGCTGTGGAAATCACTGAAAGCTACAGAAATGAACAACAACAAACTCTCATTATGAACTTTCCGCATTATATATTCTTAAAGAGAAATCTTATGTGCACAATGACCAGTTTCTACTACCACGAAAGAAATACTTCAGAAGTAGTGAAATATGGCCCAGGCATTGGATCTATCTTTGGGTCTCATAGAAAGGAATTTGATTAGTGCCAAAAAATGAATTTGAAATAGAAAAAAACTAAGGCTAAGTAGAATCATTGGTTACCATACCACTATGATTGTGATGGTGTGTGAAATAGTTACATTTTATGTATTAATTAGGAGCAGGAGGGAGGGAAGAATTGGAAAAGAAGGATAACATCATTGATCTTTCTTCCTTTTGGAAAACCCAGAAAAGAAGATAAAGTGGGACTGCTGCAAAAAGCCTGGCTCCAGCTTCTTGGTAACCGGTGCTTCATTGGTGCTGCCAGGCTACTATTAAGTTCCCCAAAGCCTCCTCTTCTCCAAGCCACTTCTCTCAGCCTGTCATTTTCTTTCTTCTATCAGTAGAATTCATATATTGGACTAATGCTAAAAAAGACAAATCTTCATTTTCCTTTAGAATTAGTATTAAGACATTTCAACCACTTGGAGCCCACTAATTTTAGCAACTGCAGGTCTGACTCTGAGATAACTTCAGGGAGACTTAAAGAGCTAGAGTGAAAACAGGGCCAGATGATAACCCATCCATCATCCAGCAATTCCTGTGTAGCACCAATTTTCTTTCCTTCCTCACCTATTTACATGGCATCATTCATTCTCTTTTGGGGTTACATGCTGATTCTTTTACAGTTTATATCGGGTGATGGCAGAAGATATTCATTGATTCTGTACAATGGTGGTAATAATATAAGATGTAGTTGTTCTGTTCTTCCCCAGATGCAAATAGCTCATCAGGTCTCCACCCATTAGCAGGAACCTGGGGAAAGCCACACCAGGAAAGGAGGCCCTTGCTATGCTAGGTTATAATTAGTATAACTTTCTTCACAACTACATGAAATGGAAATGGCACCTTTATCTTCCGTTAGAGAGAGTTCTTCATAGTAGCAGAAGATGCAGAAGGTTTCCAAGACCCAACCGGGTGGAGTACTCAGGAACTTAAAGCTGGTCCCGCTATGAGCAGGAGGTTGGACTAGAGACCTCCTGCAGTTCTCTCCAGCCTGAATTATCCTGTGATTCTATGATGTTCATTCTCCTGAATCAAAAATAGCGTTTTTGTGCATATGTGTGTTACAGTTATGTATTTTTAAAATTATATTTACCTATCACATTTGACTTAGAAAACATCAAAAATTCGATTAGAGCATTGTCTGGGTGGCTTCTCAAATTCCATCACCTACTTTTTTCCTGTGGCTTAACAGGAGAATTTGACTGGTGAGGTCTACAAAATGCAGTAATACTTCCTGGTTTTACACAGACTTTTAAAAAAAACTGTGTTGGAATTGGCCATATCTCGGTCTTGCTCCCTTTTTTGGTCATTAAGTAATAATGCATATGAGAAAGTGCATGTGAGGGTCTTTTATAATTTTGTTCTCATTCAAATAACTTTTCTCCTTTTGCTTCAAGTTATCATCATTATGAATGAAAAAGTGAAACCACAACTATTCTATAGACACATACATTTTGGTTTCTGTTGCGGATAGTTGGTGAGCAGTCAGCTGTATTTCTTGAAGAGTGCTTGATCTGTTTCTTACATTTGTGAGATGTCTTTTAGGCATTATGATTGTGATATTTTTAATGTACTAATGGTTACAGGCTGAGTTTTGGGGTGATCTATTTCACACTTATTCATGATATTATTCTTTTGCTTCAAATAAAAAGTTATTGATGATCACTTTCTTTAGATAAATTTTTAAGACAAAAATTATTTCCGATCATCAACTCTGCCTATTTTGCCAAGGAATTTAACATAGTCTGTGCCATTGATGTCAGCAAGAATAGGATTAAGGAGCAGAATTTAATTTACTTAGCTGTAACAGAAGTAGTCAGAAATAGCTCTAGCAGTTAAATTACTTGTGGCAGAATTGTTTGCTTATGTCCCTAATATTCCTGTGGTATATTTCTGAATGATAGATCATTTAAGCCGACTCGCACATCTGAAAGATTAACATTTTACCAATATTCATTTACCTTATTCCATATTCTTGTTAGTGTAAGAGGCAGTTTAACTGAAAAATGAATGCTAATAAAATGCCTTTTTAGTAATTCACTTTGAAAACCATTTGACCTTAACTACAATGAAAGTAGACTGTAAAAATCATCATAGATTCCCTTCCTTGAACTTTTCACAATGCTGAAAAATGACTGAGGGAAAGAAGCAAGATCTAGTTACTGTACCCTGTTTGTACAGCTGTACTTCATTGAGTGGAGGCTTGTGTTACACACAGTTTGTGATAGGAAGTAAATGCTTTTAAAACAACTAAGGAGACAGGTCTTTAACCTCCACCTTTTCAGATGCTTTGTTCACTCATTTAGCTTCTGTCAAGGTCTTGGGAAACGTTTCAAATACAAATTATTATTGAGTACTGAAGCTCACCTGAATAATTCATCTCCTAGTGAGCTCATTAGGCAGAGATGCATTAAGATGTTGTTGGTTTTGGTTTGTTTTTTTTTTTGAGGGAGAGATCACTAATTCTTGATATAGCAAACACTTATTCCTTCAGGAACAAATGCATTTAAAGAAGGAAGAATTCTCAGATTGAGCGTTAAGTGTTTTATGGTAGTTGAAATTACAGTTTTAGTTCAGCAATTGTAAGGATTTTCAGGGACTTAGAGGTCATGAAAAAATGATGTTGTCCTGTAAATTACCAAACAGTCAAAATTCATTAGATTTAAAATTCTCAGTTTCTAGCATACAAGACTGTTACCTCCTGTTACAAGACTATCTAGTCCCCTGAAATGGTGAAGACACCTTGAGATTCATTAAGACGATTTTTTGGCATTACTTTACATTGCAGGTACATGTTAATCACCAGACCTAAACTATTTGATGTAACCTTGGCACCAGATAATTTCAGGACTTTAAATACACATTATAAGATCATTCTGTGAATGTGATTCTAATATCTGCCAAAGGCACTTCTGCAGTTGCTCTGGTGAAACAAGTCAGTGGCGACAGGAGTGTGCAGCTGGCAGACAGCCAGTTAACTTTTAATTTCTGTAATCAGCTGAGGCTTTGTGTATACTTCATCCCTTGAAATACATGTGACCTTAAATTTAGGTTTATGCTAAACAGGCATTATTTGGGCTGCATTAACCACTCACTTTCTCATTTTGCTGTTATTAAGGTCATCTTCGTAGCTATACATCTGATGGCCATGAACATTTCTATCTTAGCCTCCCACTTAGGACTCTCCAGATATCAATATACAGTACAGAGGGGCCACCCAGATCTGACCTTAATGAGAAAGTGCCTTGAAATACAATCAGGATTTTGAAGTTGTCTTCACTGCGGTGCATTAGAGGTGTCATGCCTTCAGAGGACATGGCTGACACTGGTTTTGCCCTTATTCCAGCAGCTTTTTTTGAACTGTAACACAATAGAGCCACTGCTCTCCTTTGGCTAGATCCGGAGTTCCCAGCAAGCAACCATTTGTTTTTCCATTTGTCGCTAGTGGGCAGGCAGTGGCTGTGCTTTGTGGTCTGTGGAACAAGTGGGCTTGAAGATTTACGTGTTCCAGAAAACTGTAAGCATAACAGCAGACACCAGTTAAGTTGTTTAAATTTGAAGCGTAAGATTTTTTGGAACATTTTTTGTCCCCTTCTAGTCTTGAAATGTAACTTCAGTAAACAAATGCAGGCCTTGAAAGCATCCTCAGTCCTTGTCCCTCTGAACCCTGTAACAGAGCTCCCTACTGACTCATGTCATCAGGACTCAGCTCAGGCTTTCTGGCTGTTTAATGCTCATCTCGCACATCCTTCTGCTCTTCCAGCAATGATTTTAGCTCCTGCCACGGCCTTGCCTTCCTCAGCACGAAAGTTGCATTGACTTGTGTCCACTTACTGACATTTAACCCAGCCTACCCAAACTCAGCTCTGAACATTAGGTTTCATTACCTGCTATACTATGGTAAAATAGCAAAGTATGTGTTGGGAGATTAGTTGCTTTTAGCTTAAGAAAAAAGGCCTTGGGAAACAAATGTTGCTTTGTTCTCTAGTACATACCTCATTAGAAATTATGTGTTTTGCAGAGGTTAATATACTGTGGGCAGCGCACCAAGTACATCATAGTTCTGAAGACTACAACTTATTCACAGCCTTGAGACAATCTGTACTGCAGAAATACACCTCCTGGGTAAGTTGCACAAGATTTGACAAATTAATATCAATGAGATTTAGTAAAAGTGAAAACATAGTGTTTATTTCCCTTCGAAGAAAAACATATAAATTATTTAAGATGTTTGACACTGAAAGCGCGGAAGTTGAAACTGAAGAATCTGAAAATCATAAGCTTAAAAATACATTTATTAATGTTTTTACAGCAAACTTGAAAAGAGATACAGCAGTTAAGAAGGCTAATTATAGCCCTGCATTTATATTTTCATAACTTTTTGAGTAAAATGGGACAATTTTTTTTAATTCAGTTATTCATGCGTAAGTACAGGAAAAGATCACAGTATAGCGTAACTACTCTAGAATACCTGAAAAAAGCAGGGAGAGAAATCATTACTAAAGATTGCTTTGGACATGCAAATGTATTTGTCTCTGCTCATTCATGTCATCTGTCAGTACTCCAGTAAGTACTACTTTCACCTGGTGTTATTTCAGATAGAATTTCTTTTAAATGGTAAGCTGTGTACACATGCAATATAAATTGAGTACTCATTTATAGATTTAAAAATGTGTATTTCCAAATTCATTCATAAATGTAACATACTATTTAGTGTTTAGTTTTGGACCCAGGATAACTGCTGATTTCCTCAGTTGCACTCTCATGTTCTCTTCTGACTTTTTTAACTCAGATTGTAGCTTGGTTGGTTGGTTGTTTTTTAAAAAAGAATAATAACTTCAAAATTTGAATTTTCAGAATTAGAGTTCAAAAGCAATATTCAATGTATTTTTGTATATATTAAACATATAAATGCTCTTCTCTAATGGTATAATACTGGTGGTGGAGGAAAGCCGTAGTCCTCTGGCAATCTCTACAACTAGCCTATGAGCAAATGACTCAAAGCCAAGAGTGTGTGCTCACACAAGCAAATCCAGTGTAACTCCATTAACTTCAGTAAAAGTTTGGATTTATGCTCACATAACTGAGCATGGACTTCGCCTGTTGTTCATAACTGTTTCAAGCCCATGATGTTAGATGAGTTAAAGTGCTAGGTTCCAAAAAAATGACTAGTTCTTCTGGAAATTGTGAAACAGATACTATTCATTTTGTTTCTTAAAGTCTTTTCTGTAAATTGTTGTTCTTTCTTTATTCAGAAAATAGTCATCTAATCTAGTAGGAGTGCCTCAAATTCAAATGGCCATAATGAACAATAGTGGAAGAGATGCATCTCTGTCACAGCTCTGCTTCCTATGTAAATACTGCCATGTTAAAGATTTAACCTTTGCACATTTACCCATTGGGACCATATGTGCAAATGCTTAACAAAAACAATAATTCAGAAAAGACAAAAAGCCTGTGTGTGCATATGGGTGTGTGCATGAGCACTTTGCCTGCCTGCGTGGTTTTGAGGATGATACCTCAGAGAGCATAAAATATTCAGGAAGGCCAAGATGTCTGGCCGCCTTAGATTCTGAAGACCATCCTTAGGACCACACTGGTATCACTTGGCAAATAATATATGTACATTTAAAATTCATTTGCTTTGAGCAAAGGGAAGTCAACCTAGGAATCCATAGTATTTTTGTGCGCGGTGTTTTTTCCACCAAATATTTGGTATTAGCCAAGACATTTGATTAATGTAAATATTGGTTTACCTCCCCCTAGAACTTTTCAGAGGTGTGCCAGTTTTCTTTCTCCAAAGCCTTACTGTGCATGAACACATTTCTTGCTATTTCTTATAGCACTGCTATTTTTTTGACCTGCCAGCCTTGTCCAGAACCCCATGGATGCATCTGCCTCGAAGCTGAAACTCAGTGAAGCCTTTAGTTACTCTCTGAGAGTGATCTGATGTTGCTGAATGTGTACTGTTGAATGCAGTTTGACATGAAGTTTTGTAGAGGCTGTGAGAAAGTTGCGGTGGATGATGTGGGATTGTGGGACTGTTCTGCTGCCAGCTCTGTATGTGTTTTAAGTTAAACGTTATAAGATAAATAAATCAGCGTATTAATCTGTGTGGGTTGTGCTCGAGCTGATTGAAAAGATGTGAAATGAAAGAGAAGAGAAAAACATGCTTGAAGTACAATCAGTGGTGTGAGATGTAATCCTGAACTTGGAACCAAATGTGTATCGCTTCACGTCGTTTGCACACACAGTGTTTCTGTTACTCCAGTGGAGGGGCCATAGTGAAGCAGACCTACTGTTAAGACTGAGAGATGGTTTTGAAGCCCATTTTGTGGGAAAAAGATGTGGAAAAAAATGTATATTCATTTTTAAGAAGAAATCAGCAAGCTAATGCTATATAAATCTTTGCTTCTGATAAAACACTTGGTTAAAGTGTAATTGTGAAAGGAGAAAGTAACATATACACCTTGAAAAGCTATGATTTAATTCTATGAGTACCAGTTCTTAACTTTCCTCCAAGGGTAAGATTTGATTGCAAATAATAGATCCATAATAATTTGATAGCTTTAGACGATACGTTTAGATAAAGGGTTGAATTATGCCTTGTTGGTTCAAAAGCAGTGGAAACATCTGTATATAAATCTGGAAAGGGAATAGCTAACACTGTTCTTTTCAGCACAGAGTCACAGAGTTCACTTCTTATCTACTGAGGAGTCTGCCAGGTCTGGGATCTGTAAGGGATGGGGTTTTTTTTGTATCCTTAACTTTAACTCCTGCAGAATCCTCACAGAAGTATAGCCCACGTGCACTAGCTGTCGGCAGCGACCCCGCCGCCCCTCGGCAGCCCG